TGTCTTTGATTAAATTTATTTTTTGGAAATAATTATATTTTTTGATTGTATATTTATAGTAATATTATAACTCGTTATATAGTTTCGATAATGAATAAAAAATGCCGCGGACACGAAAATAATAAAAAAGACACCATATACACATAAAGGACGTCCTTTATAGCGGGAGGACGTCCTTAAACCACAAAGGACGTCCTTCGGCCTATATTCCCGTCCTTCGTCCCCATGTCCGTCCTTTCTCTTTAGTTTTATTTTGGAAAAACAATAATAATAAATGATCAACCAAATATTATAAATTTAATATTGTTTATTATATTCAAACACAAATAAACTAATTACGCAAACAAAATAAAATACTCATTTATAATATTAATGACGTCATCACTAATTATGCAAAATTGTCAGACTTCAAATCGTCGACAAACATAAACATGTTATTTACGAATACTTCATTTACACCTGTATGTTTTCGGCGTTTTATAAATGTATTTACAAATATACAATCGTGTTGTCATTTTTAACATTTAACCGTTAAAAAGTTTTTGGGATGTTATTACAACTTTATATCAGTCGAACTATCGCTATTATTTAGTTATATTTAGTATTAATTATATTATAATGAACCAAACAGACTTGTATATCACCATATTTTTTCTTTTAAGTATTGCTTTTTTATTAGAATAAAAAAAGTCATATTTTTGTTGATAATAGTATATTAATAGTATAATGCTATAAAAAGTATTATACCAACATTTTACAAAAATATAAAAGCTACCACCCAAATTGTTTAGAATATGCAACGAATTGATGGATACCACATGATGGTCATTTCCCAATATTTTGAATCCATCAAAGACTTTGTGGCACTTGAGTTTGTGTGTAAAAAGTATAACAACAATATGAGTAAATTCCACTTCAACCCTATTCGCCTCACGTCTAAAACAATTAACTATTTTCCATCAATCGAAACACTCAATATTTGGACTGAAGACGATGAAACTTTTGGCAATGATTTCATGTTGTTATTTAACGACAATACATATCAAACTGACAGACAAAAATGTATGAAAGTTAACAAAAAAGACTTTTATAAAATTGTTGTCTGGTACCAAGTTGATTTCGATACATTTCACAAAGTTGCCAAACTCGAAAACGCGATTTTTGAATTTAAAGATATTTGTTACAGCACTTCAGATGTTGTGAATTTTGGAACTCAAATACCAAAACTGGTAACATCACTGATGCGGTCGTGTTATGAAAATTGTAACACAATAGAACAAATAGACATTCCAAATACTGTAACTTCGATTGGACATTTCTGTTTTTCAATGTGTCTTTCATTGAGTGAAATCACAATACCAACACGCGTCATTTCAATGGGTGAGTGCGTCTTTTTGGGATGCGCCAAACTTAAAAGTGTAACACTTCCGTGTTATATGACGACACTAAATCCACACACTTTTGGGTTTTGTTGTGGTTTGACATGTGTGAATTTACCACCTGGCTTGGTATCAATTGGAGATAACTGTTTTGAATTTTGTTATTCACTTCAAGACATTGTGATTCCTGACAATGTCACAACATTAGGGAAATTCTGCTTCTCTGGGTGTAAAGCACTTCATTCTGTTCTATTGCCTAAAAAGATGAGAGAAGTTGGTAGCGGATGCTTTAGAGAGTGCAAGGCATTGGCTCAAATTATCATACCAGAAAATGTCACGATGATTGGGTCGAATTGTTTCCCACCAAATACAAATTTGGTGCAATAATCTATTTGGAATATGATTTGAATACATTGTCAAACGAAAAGTGAAAATATACTACTTCTGGCTAGTATTTAAATACTACAATATACTATATTTATTGTTTTTTTTGTTCCAAACTATTTTAAAAAAAATATTAAATTTTACTATTAAATGATAATATTTTATAAACTTTAAAAAAATGAGAATAATAAATAATAAAAATACAGTCAAAGGCATCTATTTGTCGTGAATCCAGCAGAAAAACGTATCTATTTGTCGTACATGAGTGAATTTTGTAGAAAATTCATATTAATATTGAAATTTATTTTTTATTAAAAATTTAGTTTTTAATTCAACAAAAGTTACAGACTCGAGAACAAAATATTTAATTGTCGTACACCAAAATGATTGGGCAGTTGTGCGACAATTAAGCAACTTCGACAATTATAATAACGACAAATAGACGCCTTTGACCGTACTTTCCACCTATTTATATAGAATAGGTGGAAAAAACTCTAATTCTATAACAATTACTATATTTTATTATAAACAACCATTTATTATTAGTTTCTATTTTTATTACAATTTAATTTCATATAACTGTCGAGCCGAATAAAGAATTCAATTAATATATCGAGACGCCTCTATTTGAGACTAAATCCTGAATTTGTACACAATACTAATGAAAATTACAACCATAATAATTTTCATTTGGTTAGACATGTTGACTCCTTTACATGGAGGTTGATTCAATTCACGCATAGATTAAATGATTGACAAACTTAAACGTTCAATTTTTATTTCTTATTTTTTTTATTTTTTGTTTTTTTTTGGAGTTTTAATTAATGTTTTTGAAATAATATAAATAAAATAAAATACTATTATCAAAACGCTATAACTATATTATATAGTTTATTCAACTGTTATTGTTAAATTTGAATCTTGACTTTCATTTTTTTGTGTTTTAAATAACATTTAAATCAAATGTAAATCTTTAAATATCAAAAATGGTCCATCTTGAAAGGTTTTTTCTAACAAATGTCGCAATTTATCTAAACGAAGTTTCTTCACTTCTTCCGTTTATACTTGTATCAAAGACGTGTTGTTCTGCTCTTCAGTCGTTATATATCAACCCATCATTCAAAGTTATTACACCCTCTTATGTCACCGACCTTCCAGGCCGTTCAGTTGGTTGCTTTATGGAGCAACTTCTTCATTACGTGTCATCATTTGTTAAGTATTTTCCAAAGCTTCAGACCCTCCACGTTCCTTCACTATTCTATCACATTTCACACCACATTCTTCAAAAAGTTACTTTGATATAAACTGATAGACTGCATTGTAACACCGAACATTTTTTATATTCATATATTACAAGAGAATTTGGAAATGTTTATACAATTAGAAAATATTATAATGAAAAATTAGAAAAGGGGTGTGCTGGAGATATCATGTTTGAACACGACGGAGTATTTATTGAAAAATTGAAGACACTTTCAGTCACCGATTCTGATACTTTTGATTATATTTTTACGGGTAAAAAGAATTTTGAAAAACTTGAGTGGATCTATTTTGACTTGACTCAAATAAATGTTACAGAGTATAAAAAAGTCATCAAAAATTTATTTGCTCTTAAACAAATAGAAGTTACTTGTAACTTGGAAGATGTCAAAGACGTCTATGTAAATATTCCAAACGTTCGATGGGTGTTTTACATCAAAGAATGTGATGATAAAAATTATGAAGAAGAAACCAAAATCGAAATTTTCAATTTTATAAAAACAGTAGGAAAACTGGTGTTGGACTTTAAAGAGAATTTTGCTGTGAATGGCGCAATTTTCGAGAATATAGAAAATGCCGAAATTGTCGATAAAAATTATTTAAAATATTCAGAAACGTTCAAACAATATCAGATGTATCCCACAGAAGCAGTTGTTAGTACAATAAATTCTATGAATACAATTCAATTTAACTGATTTCAAAGAGTAGATTCAGAAGTGGATATACATAACACAGACAAAGATGTCATAGATCTACATGGATACCCAATTATAGACATCACTATTAATACGAATGAGTGTGTTGATGTCGCAGCAAGTGTGAAAAAGGTGACGACATCACAACGAGTAATTAATTTATACTCAAGCACCCAAACAACAATAGAAGTGTGTTTTAAAAATGTTGAAAAGAAGCAAAAGAGTGGAAGTGTTGAGTATACACTATTATCTGTTATAGTGAACGTTACGGGTAAAACCACAATCGATATCGATAAAATTTGTTTGAAAAATTACACAACAGTAAAAGCAGTTATGGTTAGAGGGGTCTTTGATTTCAATTTTGGTATTTTTGAGATGTTAAATGAGCTAACAATAACATTAACAGAACCACCAGATATTTCTGAGTCAAATGACAATTCAATTTCGCAGAATAATGATGATCAAGACGATAAAGAAAATAAAACACTTAAAAATCAAAGTATTAGAGAAAGTTCACATGAGAGTGAAGAAGACTATTATAACAATATGAAAATTGCAATCGATCTCTCAAATTTACACATCAAAAAACTCACATTAATTTCGTGTAATGATTGTGACATTAAAATACCAACGACTACAACTTCTCTTTCTATTGCAACAAGTCATGGATGTCATATAACGTCATCTTCTCTCTGTTTCCTTGACAAATTTGATATCGACAAACATTCATATTGTATTTATTGTACCAACATCCGATACAATCACAAAGTGGCTGTCTATAATTACAACTGGCGGTGTATGTGTATCGAGTGTGATGAATATCGTGCGCTTACTGATGTACCAAATGACGGTGTTGTTCTGACGCGGTTATATCGAAATTTTGATTGTCGAAATGACCCGACGTATCATGCCACGGAGCTTGGAACGATGTTTCTTAGTGCAAATACAGAACACGAGTGTAATTCTTGGTATTGCGTGACAACTCAAATTAAAAATATCCAACACGGCGCGTTTAAAAATTGGAAACTAGGCAGATGTGTTGTGATCAAAGCGCCACTTTTAAAGATCCCCAATGAATGTTTTACAAACAGCGAAAACATTGAGGAAATTGTTCTTCCACCGACTATTCAAACACTCGGAAAAAGAGCGTTTTATAATTGTAAAAGTCTGAAAACTATTAATATTCCAAGCAATGTCAAATGTCTTGGAAACAAACTCTTTTGTGGGTGTTCAAGTTTGTCATACATCCAACTTCCAAGTGCAATCACAAAAATCGAAAAAATGTGTTTTAAAAATTGCAAAAATTTAAAAACCGTCGAGACACAAAACAAAATTGTGGTATTGGGTGAAGACTGCTTTGCCGGGTGCGAATCTCTAAAACTCGATTTTTCTTTTATAATTGAAAATTCTTCACCAATCGAATTATCAAAATGCCACTTCAAAAAATGTAAGTGGTTGACTTCATTTGACATTCCATCGTCTGTGACACACATTGGAGACGACTGTTTCTTTGGGTGCACCGGGTTAACAGAAATGACTATTCCCAACACAGTAATTTCCATGGGAAGTCGTGTATTCAACGAGTGTAGTAATTTAAAAACATTATACGTTTCTGATGGAATACAAATGGCTAAACACTGGTTTAATGGATTAAATAACATCGAAACTCTTCATTTACCATTGTGTGTTGATAAACTGTGTGATTTCAGATTTTTTAATATGAAAATGTTGAAATCAGTAAATCTTCCAAACACGTTGAAAACCGTTGGAATTGGATGTTTTAAAGGATGTGTATCACTCACAACAATAATAATACCTGACAGTGTCTCTTATATTCCAACTTCATGTTTTGAGGGATGTGGCTTGGTTAAATTAGTATGTAAGGCGAAGCGATTTGGCAACAAATGTTTTTACGATTGTGAAGATTTGGAAGAAGTTTTTACAGAGGCGGATACCGCTGGTGACGAAGCCTTCATGAATTGTATAAATCTCGTTAAATTCATTAATAACGGAAATTTTTCTGTTGGAAAAGGGTGTTTTAAAAACTGTGGGAAACTTAAAAAATTTGTTGGTAAAATAAAAAA